TCCTCTGATGCTGCTTGGCCCGCTGTGTTCATCCAGCTCTACACCGTGTTATCTCTGTACTTTTCCAGAATTTGGATTGGTTGAGTACTATTTCAGACCTTCGCAGCACAAGTAATCTCTTATTTGTCTGATTGTAAAACTGCCAATGAGTCTGAAATGGCTGTCAATTCTGTTCAGGTTTTGCTGTGAAGTCAATATTGAGCATTAGCAGTGCTGGAAAGTCCAATGGCCCCAACATCTTTTGAACAGGTCCAATATAGCAGCCTTTATGGTGCTGGACTAGTAACCTATGGGTTGATTTCAGATCCTACCATGGGAGTTTGTAGGCTGGTACCAGGAAAAAGAAGTTCATGTACCACCATCCTTGGTATGAGCTGCATGAAGCTGCACCGGCATTTAACAAATTGAATGTTCGTGTTGTCGAGGTAATTCATGGAATCAGTGTTGCTGACATCTCTGGAACCATTAACAATTAAAATATATATATATTTCAGCCTCCAGTTTAGTTAAGAAGCACTCAAATCTGTGAATCAATAAATAACTCCCAGTGACATGAATTATTGGTATTGGATCTGGTCAGATAAAATATTTTTACTGGTATATTTACAAACTCAGAAATTCAAGCAGTGCCAGTGGACTTTTTCCTTTTTGCTAATTGCGTAGCTTTGTTCAATGTGTATGAAACTAACCTTTCATGTTTCTACCTTATGGTTTACTCTGCTAACCTCTTCAGGATGCTGCAGTGGGATACAGATCTCTCTGTCCTTCAACTTCAGACTGATTCTGAAATGCGGTACCTATCTTCTTCTCCTTTCTGCTGCTAACTATGTTACTGGATTACTTTTCGGAACAAATAACAGTTGCATTAACTTTGCTGAACTGTGAAACCTGCAATCCATGTGTTCTTCGGGACTCAATGCATTAGCTTATTGAGTGAGAATGCTTTCAGTAAAAATGGTTCAATTTCAGTGACAGCAATTGGGCAGAGTTTTTTTTTGATTGAGATATGTGAAGGTTGGAAAATAAAGCAGGCATGATTGAATTAAGAAAAATATATCACTGTAATAGTTAAGCAAACATTTGAAGGTGTAGTCATAGTATTGAGCAAACGCTGTCAGATGAGGAATGTATAAAGATTTGAGATTGATTCGGTAAGGCATTCACGGTGCTTCATACTAGATTTCTAGTTGTGGTCACCAAACCAGGTAAGTGAATGAGAACATGGAAGAGGGTTGAAGTGAAAATAGAGTACAATAATTTGATTTTAATTCATTTAGTTGTGCAGCGGGGCAGAATAAATGATTACCTGTCTTTCACAGCTGCTGACGGGGGATGTAAAGAGATTTTTAAAGATGGAAAAGTAGAGTATTGATTATTATAATAAACCACAAGTTAAACTTGTGAGATGTTGTCTCATGGAAATCGCTGCTACATTGAACCATAATTACTGGCCTTGAAATCCTGAGTCCAATATGGTGGGTGCTGTGCTGCCCACCTGATTAATTAAAACTCTGATGTAGGCATCAGGGATATCTGCTGGAAATGGGTGTTGGCCCCTTTTCATATTTGGATTCAAATTGTAGCAGCAGGTGCTCTTCAGGAAGCACCTCACAAAACCAGGATCTGCCCTTGTTTTTAACTTACTTCAAGATGCTACTGCCACCCACCACTACCCACCCTCATATCTTGGCCTGGCTTTTAGAAGTAAGTGGATTGAACAAGGAGATCACCTAAATTTCCATGGCCCATCACACATTGATATTTGAACAATATTTGTTTGTTACCTTACACGTTCACTGATTCACCAAAATGCCCAAAAGAGAACTCAAACTGTGAAGCACAGCAGTGCTGTTCAGAACTGTTTACATTTTGATTAAGGTGTTGGAGTGATATACACTGAATAAAATATGAATTTTGGTATCAGTGGGTAGCCATTATCATCTGTGTTCAGCAGCTGATATTACAGCAACCCCAGGCCTTTTCTTTAGATTAAGCATGAGAACGTCTAGCAGTGGAATAAAATACATTCTCATTGGAGGAAACCTGGAAAGGCTATGATTGTAGTACATGAGTATCTGTTTGGTATTTTAATTGTTGCTTTTACATGCGCCATTCTTCCTAATAGTCAATTTAATTCTTGATTTACTCCCCTTTAGAAGTTAGTATATGTGGAGAAAAGCATAATGGGAATGATGGTTATTAGGTCTGTTTGTTGAGCTTTGCCTCATGCAAACAATTATTGATGTGGCAAAACTCTCAGCATGGTGTGGCTCTTCTTCGCTCATTGTTCAATTAGCCTTTAATTTCAGTCTGAGTGCCATCATAAATGGATGATCAGTACGCTGAGTGCTGAAGAAATGCAGTGCCTGAAAGTGTGATGAAAATAGGTTCAATTGAGGCATTCAAGGGGAATGAGATGATTATTTAAATCAAAACAATGTGCAGGGTTGCAGCGGACAGGCAGGAGAATGGCACTAAGGATTGATGCTCAGAGAGCCAGTCAAGATACAATGGGCTGAATGGCTTCTGTCTGCACTGTAACAATTCCGACAGATAAAATTGCCCCCAGTAAGTTATTCGTTACTATATAATTACAGTATATATACTGTTACTGCGTAGCCATTGAAAATTTGCCTTTTGCACAAGTCCATCTAAAGTCACATGTCTAATGTCAGGTCTAGAAGGGCTTAAGACAGATATTTTAAGTATTTATTTCTGTTGATTTACTTGTGTGATCTCTGCATGAAAATGTTTTGCATATAATCAGTAAGCTTATTATCTGCTTGCATGGTATATATAAGTCACATTTTATGCTCAGGTATGTCATGTAGTAGTTGTTGGGCTGCATGTTAACCATGCTGACTGCTGTAGGCAAGCAATTGTTAGTTCATAGCATTGTGGAACCTCCCATTATTTGCCCAAATGATGAGGACTCCTCGTCAGTGATGGGAATTCGTGTTAAATCCAAATTCTGATCTTGTACGTATGGCTCAGTAATGTCAGAGGCGTATAATGATGATGCATTGCAAAGGTGGACTGAAAGCATTTACGTAGTTGTGTTGACCAATAAAAGATGAAATGCAAACAACAAAAGCCCTGTAACGAGATAGCATTTTCTATACTTATCTGAACTGTGTAAATTTGGCAGTTAAGAATATAAATCTTGGAGCTTCCACTGCGATGACTGTACAAGCATAGCTGTCCTCAAGATTTGCCTGTCGCTTTACTACTCAGTGCACCACAGTGATCTTTGTTTATTGATTCCAATGTAGACATCACCTGCAAAAACTAGGCATAGCCCGAATGACCCATGTGGATATTGCACCTTGTGAGCGTCTCGCACACTGTAAGGAGACCCAAACACCTGTGGTTGCTAAACCAGATGAAGGTAGGCTAAGACCAAGCATTTTCCAATAATTTTCTGACTTCATTATTCTTTTAACTTTCTTTTCCCCCCTGAATTGTGAACAATGTGCTTACTTAACCTGCGTTTTGTTGTGCTGCTCTGTGTTTTAACCGTTAGGAAGCACATTGTTCAGAATTTTGCACAATTTATTTTGCCTCAACCCTGAGTCAGGAGATCACAGAGCAATGCGACCTGCTACCTATCTGAAAACTGACAAATTTCATGGGTGTGATTGGCAAGTTCATGTGCCATGTTGCCTCAGATTTTGAAAGCATGTTTGTCATTAAATAGTTCAGTATATAATTTCTTCAAAAGCAATTATCACCGACTCTCTGGTGGCACATGCAGGTAAAGAGTAGGGCTGTCGAGGTCACAGGTTACTTCTTCAGCGATGGTAGTACTGCTCACATGGCTGACCGGCTGTTATAGGTGCCCAGGCTATAGAGAGGCATTTGAACTTGTGAAAGCTGGTTGAATGTAAGTTGGCATCCTGGCCTCAGTGACCCTTATTATTTCAATGTTTAAGTTTTTCTCCAAATTGCTGTGTTAATTAGCAATCTCAATTGTGCTGCTACTTTCAGTACCAGGTGTAAAAACTATGCCCGTGCTCCTGTGAATTCCCTAGCGCCCTACTTAGTGGCAGCATCATAGATCACTCGGCTGCCCTGTTAACCAGCAATTGGTGCATGGCACTAGGGTCTAATGGGAGGGGAGAAAAGAAACATGTTAAATGAAAGGGACAGGTGTATATATGACTGTATATTCCTCTCACTGCATACCTGTAGGTTAGGTTGTGTTCAATATGAGTTAGCCTGTCAATGGCGTTTGACAACGCTGGTGTAGTTTCTGGACTAAAGGCAGAGGCTAATGCTCTGGGGATATGGTTCAAGCCCCACCATGGCAGCTGGTGGAATTTAAATTACATTAACAAATCAGGAACATAGAGCTAGTCTCAGTTTCATGGACACCGTCACTATCGTTGATTGTTGTCAACACCCATCTGGTTTACTAGTGTCCTTTAGGGAAAGAAGCCTGCTGTTCTTAATGGTCTGGCCTACATATGATTCCAGACCCACAGCAATGCAGTTGACTCTTAATTGCCCTCTGAAATGGTGTACAGAGTCCCTCAGTTCAAGGGCATTTAGGGATGGTTAACAAATGATGCTTGCATCCCATGATAGAATAAAGAAAAAAGATTGAGGGACAGGACTGGCAGCTTAATGTGTAAGGGTACAGGAGCTTTAAGCAGGACAGAGGTAGAGGGGAGGGGGAGTTGCATTTTTGATTAAGGGGAGTATCATAGCAATAATCAGAGATGAAATAACTGGGGGACCATTCAGTGAGGCTTTGTGGGTGGAGCTAAGAAATAATAAGGGGATGGTGGCGTTATTGGGGTTGTACTATAGGCTCCCAAATCGTCAATGGGAATTAGGGAAACTGGGGAGACTTGCAGGAGCAATAGGATTGTCATAGAGAGGGACTTTAATTTTCCTAACATAGACTGGGACTGCCATAGCGTTAAGGACTTAGATGGGGTGGAATTTGTTAAATGTGTTCAGGAAAGTTTCCTTAAGCAGTATGTAGAGGGGCAAAACTTGACCTACTTTTGGGAAATAGGGCAGGACAGGTGACTGAGGTGACTGAGGTGACAGTGGGGGAGCACTTTGGGACCAGTGACCATAGTTCTATTAATTTTAAAAAGTTATGGAGAGGGACTAAACTGATACACAGGTTCAAGTTCTAAATTGGGGCACGGCAAATTTTGTTGGAATTAGACAGGAGTTTGCAGGGGTTAATTAGAGTAGTTTGTTTGCAGGCAAAGGGACCTCCGGCAAGTGGGAGGCCTGTGATAGCTAGAGTTTAAGGTCTGTATGTTCCTGTGAGGGTGAAGGGCAAGGTTGGCAGGAGTAGGGAATCCTGAATGACAAGAGATATTGAGGCTTTGACCCAGAAAAGAGGAGGAGGCATGGCACAGGAGCAGGCAGCTGGGATCAAGGGAATCACTGAAGGTAAATAGGGCATACAGGAGTTTACTGAAGAAGGAAATCAGGAGGGCAAAAAGGGGGTGTGAGATAGCTTTGGCTGAGAACATTAGGGTGAATCCAAAGAGATTCTTTCAGTATGTTAAAGGAAAAAGAATAATTAGGGAGAGAATAGGACCCCTCAAGGACCAAAGTGGACATGTATGTGTGGAACTGCAGGAGATGGGCAAGGTCCTCAATGAATATTTCTCCTCTGTGTTTACCATGGAGAAAGACATGAAGACTTGGGAACTTGGGGAAGTTAGTGGTGATATCTTGGGGACAGTCCACATCACAGTACAGGAGGTGTTGGAAGTAATAGAATGTACGAAGATGGATAAATCTCCTGGTCCTGATCAGTTATATCCAAGAACCCTGAAAGACGTAAGGGAAGAAATTGCGGGGGACCTGGCTGATATATTTGCATCATTCTTAGCCACGGGTGAGGTCCCGGAAAACTGGAGAGTAGCGACTGTTGTGCCCTTAGTTAAAAAAGGGTACAAAGAAAAACCTGGGAATAATTGACCAGTAAGCCTAACATCTGTGGTAGGTAAGTTACGTGAGAAGATT